ATCCAATTTAAAAGTTCTTTTAATGGGATGGGATAAACAAACACTTATTTAAAATAAAATTTAAAAAGACAGCAAATTAACACTATAACCAGTAGATGGCAGCAGAGGAGCACTTATTGGCTTATTAGTCATTCATTTCCACTTTTTTGCTTTATATTTTGATATCATAAAATCACTATTATAAACTATCAAATCATCAAGAAATCAAATGTTGTCAAAGCTTTTTCATGTGAAAACTTTTCATGTGTTGCAAAGTCGCAAAGTGCCTTGAAAAACAAACTTTTGTTCAATTTGCGACTGAATCACAAAGTAAAGAGCGCTCCTTTCATAATCACTGATGTTGTCGGTCAGTTCAGTATAATACTATAAAAAGAATAATGTAACATTTAATGAGAGCAGAATATTTATTTTTTCATATTAAAATTAGATTTTGCACGTTACTGTTGTTAATAAATGTAAATTTTGTATACTTCCCAACTCCAGCTCAGTGCTTTACTGTCAAATGTGCATTAGCAAGAAATAAACGTGTATTGTTAGTAACTGCACTTGTTAATGCAAAACAATATTTGATGATTAAATTAATTTTGTTTTTAATCATCAGGATCATTAATTGATGGACTGGAGTGCTGTGGATTTCTTGTGGATTATTGTGATGTTTTTATCAGCTGTTCTATTCCTTTAAGACACGGTGTAACAATTTATAAAGCATATAAATATGATCAGACAGAGCCTGTATTTATGCTGCAGGAGGTAGATTGGCTCTTACCTTCAGCACCCCTCTGATGTGTTCATCGTGCACCTCTGCAGTGGACGAGCTGGGTTTGAAGGTGACCTGGAAAGAGCCACACACAGTCAGTGAGGATAGTAAACACGAAAGGGCTTTCCCTAAAGGCCAAGAAGCATCGATCGCTCATATCAGGCAGCCAGATCCCCACCAGAGAGAGCCGAGCGTCCCTGTGCTGATATCACAGACACACTGTGTCACTGAATCACTGCGTGTCACAGACGATAATTACACAGAAAGTGGGGCGGACAAAACACGCTGTGCAAGAGGATGGGATAAAAATGGAGGAACAAGATGTCATATTTCCATAAATACCCACAACACTGCGAGACGCCACACATCAGGCTGCGCAAAATGCAGAATTAAGACTCGGCATCTTTTGGGTTCACAAACTGGAATTTGAATTCAATTGAAACCTTCCTGCAGGATGTTGAAATTGAATGACAGGAAGAAGATTTAGTGAATTGCAACTGTAGAAAAGCAAAACAACAACACAGACCAACACGGGTTTTGTGAATAAACATACATGATGCGTTCGCTAGCAACACCAATGCCGCAGGTTCGATTCCCAGGAAATGCATGAACTGAAAAGTGCAACGTAAGGTGTAATGTAAGGTGTTTTGATTAAAACATAAATGTATTAAAACGCATAAATGTAAAACTTAATATATAACTAAATTAATCAAATTATGCCATTTTTTCCCTTAAGTAGAACATATTTTTCTAAATTCACTAATAAATTTTTATGATTTTTTAAATTTTTATAATTGTATTATTTTATTTATTTAAAAATATATTTTCTAAACTAGGTTTATTATATTTGCATTCATGGATTTAGCAGACCCTTTTATTTTAATTTTTTATCTTTTATCTTTTTATTTTTATTAATTTATGTTTAAATAATTTTTATAATTGTATTATTTTTTATACTATTATAAGTTTATTATACTTACATTTATGCATTTAGCAGACACTTTTATAAATTATTATTTATGATCTTATGAAAAAAAAATCAAACAGGATCATAAAATGTCCAGTACTGTTCTGAGATAATCCCATAAACAGAAATATTAATAAAATGTAAATACATTGATTATATGATATGCATAAATGTACTAATAATATGAGAAAGTCCAACGTCCATTAACTGTGAAGTCCATTATTTCTCACACACGGCAGATGTCTGACACGACTGTGTTTTACGGCCACACATGCATTACTCCAGCTCATAAGCGCTGTGTTGTGAGCAGTTTGTGACAGTTTGTGTCATCAGAGAGAAGTCTCGTCGTCGCAGGAGATAATAAGTCCCATGCTTCAGCATCTCGTGGCAGTCGTATCTGATGAAGCTCTGATCACACACAGCCACTGCTGATGAAAAAAACCCTAATTACAGTCACTGTCAGGACGCATGGAGGAGTCCAGACAGATAGAACAAGCTAACTTTAACTTCAAACATCACCGAATAATAGACTAAATAATGATGACTAAATAAATAATAATGAAATTTGCTTAATGACAGTGATAAAATTAATCCTTAGACTACGTCAACTTAATTCATAATCAACTTCATAATATGCATTATGAATATTCTAAAAAATATAGAAATGAAAATAATAATCCAATATGAATGAAAATAAAAGAATGAAAATAAAAATACAATGAAATAACAATAATAAAAATTTAAATTAAAATAATACTAATAAAAAATTATAATTAAAACCTTAAGGTCAGACAGCTACATAACATTATCTTGATGAGATATTTATATCAACATTCAAAACATCACATTTCCATCACGTTTTGCATTTGGCAGACACTTCTATCCAATATGATTTCCATATAAATCAAAGAATATAATTGATCAGTTCATGCGTTTCCTGGGAATCAAACCCATGACCTTAATGCTGCTAGTGCTCTACTTTTTTTGAGCTACAGAAACACAGAGAACCAAACGCTGAAGTCTGGAAGACATAAAAACACATGCACTTGATCAATGAATAAGACTGTAGGAATATAAAACAAAAGCATGATGAGCTCCAATGCTCTGCTTTGATTTCTCTGACAATCTTAAAGTGTGAATGTGCCGTGTAAAAACTCTTCTTTCTAATGCATAAACACAGCTAGAGAGAGAGAGAGAGAGAGACAGAGAGAGACAGACAGACAGAGAGAGAGAGAGAGAGAGAGAGAGAGACTTTAAGGTCTCTTTATTACCAAAACGTTAAAATTCTAGATTAAACTACATCACATAGCAAGAAAAAAAAGGAGGGAAATTACCCCCACACATAAATAATATAGATATATAAATACTCACACAAATATAAACATAAAACCACAAACTGACAATAGAGAGAGAGAGAGAGAGAGAGA